GCAGAGCGCACATCGACACACCCGGAGGTGGCGATTGCTGAATACCTAGTCCACGCTCTTCTAGACTAAGATAGTGTGCGGTGTTTTGGTGATAAATTGGTGAATTTTATCCACGAGCTGTGCGATCTTGCGAATTATGGAGAAAATGGAGACAGCAGAGTTTAGATTCCGCGCATCGTAACCAATATTCCTGTTTACGCTGACCGCTACGTTAACGGTGGGTTTTCATGGAGAGATGCGGTCAGCAGCGAGGCTCCCGCGTTAATCTTTCGGGAAGTCTCTAACGTTGTGGCACGCTTTTGCAAACAAGAACGACTTCCCGAAGCGCCAACCCACTTGAATGACTTACTGCGCGTGAATGATATGCGTGCCTAAATTCGGCGCCGTATTGAGAGCCTATGGGAAAAGAAGATACTAGACCATATCGATTTAGGTGTGGACTTTCGTGTTTTATTGTTTTTGGGAGCTCGTTGAAGTGGTAAAGTATGCAACTTCGCGTCTCTATCTCTTGACGTGACAGCCCCGTCAAAACAATCACGAATCCGCTGCATATAGATGTGTAATAATAAATGCAAGTTTCTTTTTCACCAAATAAAGACACCTTCACGTTAGACATTATAGCCATCTTTACATTTCGTAGCGTGTCCAATTAGATCACTTCATGAATATAAACACGTATTTAGCAACCCAAAAAAGAAATGTTATCACTGATGCGTCTGCTGGGTTACTTGGTAGGGTACAATTAAGCGGTTTCGGTCTAGGGTAAAATTGAAGAAAGAGTAAAGAGTGATTGCGTAGCTCGTATTAAGCGTTTATATAATCACTTGAATTTTTGTTTAGCTCGTAGCCCCGATAACGAATGATACGTTTAGCGTTCTGCAAATGGTACCTGCATTTTTATCCATATTTTTGAAAGAGTAAAGTAGGTGAAAGCTGAGGTGGATCCACGTAATGACTAGTCTTACGTATTTAAGACGCGGTAGTGAAAACGGATAAGGTATTCCGTATCCTGACTAAGTTACATCGTTAGCGATGATATGGGAGTGCACGGGGCTCATACCACCACAATGACTAAATATCG